CTCACTCTTTGGTGATGAGAAGACTGTATGTGATAACATGTTAATTGAGTGGGACAGCAAGAACATGAACAAGTGAAGCTAGAGAAGATGGTAAAACTTCTTGGTTCAAGTCGCAAGGGCAATTTTTATGGAAGAATTGGCATTTGGATGGGCAGGAAGAAGAGGGGAGCTCAAGTGGAGGGAACATAGATGCACACAGGTGGGCATATGAGATGCATGCAACAGTAAGTGCAAAAAGGACCGTCAGTGTGAAGTGGCATAAGAAATATCCTAGGATTACCGCAGGCTGCTACCCTAACGTACCAGAAGACAACAACAGTCCCCTGAGTGGAAGCCTGCCTCCAGTCTGGCCTTCCTCCAATCCATTCTCCAAACTTCAGAGAGGCCACAGCAGTCCACTGGTTAAAAACCTTCAATGGCTCCTCACTGTTCTCAGCCTAATGTCCAAATTCCTTAACATGATTTTTACAAAGCCCAGTAGGACCTGGGTTCTGTGACTTCTCTTGACTCATTGCTCTGCTCTAGGGTCCTACATCTTTCCCCACCCCATGTACATACATACCCCTTACTGAAGGACCAGAGTCTCTCTCCTCCCAGCTTCTCAATACAATTTCCTCTGCCTGAGCATCCTCCCTTCAACGCTGCCCTGCCCCACCCCCTATCTCATAATAACCACTCATCCTTTAGGTCTCCATTTAAATGGGTATCTGCTTACCCAGGATGCTCCATTCCCTAGCCTAGGTTATAGAGTCCTCCTCTGTGCTCTCAAACTAGATGGGCTGAAACAGTCTAGAGTGCTCTGAAGGCCTAGAAGAACTTAGACATGACACAGCAGGAGCCTTGGACTCACTCTGTGTAATATGTTGACTAGGATACCGTATTCCAAGAAAATAAATCTGGCAATATCGTACCTCAAGTTCTAAAAGTATCAGTGCTATCTTAGGCAAAAGTGGAATATACCAAGAGTAGATAACTGTCTGTCTGTTGGGTATACATTCTCCATCTCTTTGGGTAATAATCCTTGATTTTCCCTTTCTCTCATTCTCTGTCCACTAGGTTGGGTGGAATTGATGCCATCCCAAGTCCAAGGAAAGACCAATTAGAGCACTCCACACCCCCTATTCAGAGATGGGCATGAGACCCCAGTTGGGCTAACAGTACTCTATTCTGGACTTCTGCTGGCAATACTAAGAAAAGAGCTATCTTTTTCCCAGGGTTTGTTAAGCTAATACGATGTAAGTCTGGAGCCAGCCGAGAATGACACCAATATAGTAGAAAACAGAGACAAGAACTGGAAAAAGGCAGACCGTGATAACCAACTCAACACCTGGACTCAGCCATGTCTTAGCCAGAACAGACTGTTCAGTGACAGGAGTCAATCAGTTCCATTTGGGGCTTGAGGCAATTCCATCTGGGTTTCTGTCACTTGCAACCAAGAATCTTGAGTCACACAAAAAGGTAATCAGAATTAAGACAACCAAACAATGCCAAGAATAAAAAAGTTCCATCAGTTGTAGACTCACAGTTCCCAGTAGGCAATGTTTCAGTAGCAATCACATGATTCTATCAATAAAGGTTCTTCTTAGTGGTGGGCATCTGTTAGTCAGTATCACAGCCTTGCCACTAGTCTAGGCAATAAACCAGCCATGATGTGTAGCAAATAACCTCTTACTATTTCAATCTTCCTCAACTAAATCATGAACTTGATTCCGTAGACAAAAACCACAGGTACACAATTTTCCAAAAGTAAAACCCTGTCTACCAGAAAAATCCTTTTCCAGTTTGAAAACTAGGAATGCTGTGAAGAATAACGTGGTTCAAATCCCAAACTGTTCTTAAAAATAAAATCCACTGCCCTGGCCAGTTGCTCAGTGGTTAGAGCGTCGGCCCACAGACCAAAGTCCCAGGTTCAGTTCCCGCTAAGGGCACATACCTTGGTTGCAGTTTGTCCCGGCTCCGGTTGGAATCGTGTGTGTGGCAGCCAGTCGATGTGTCTCTCTCACATTGATGTTTCTCTCTCTCTTCTCCTCCCTTCCTCCCTCCCTCCTTCCCTCTAGCTCTATCTGAAGATGAATGCAAAGGTGTCCTCAGGTGAGGATTAAAAAAATAAAATAAAATAAATAAATAAATAAATAAAATCCTTAAAAAGGGGAGGAGGAGGGTCTGAGATGCTCTGTCAATTCTAAATTCTTTTAAATATCTTAATCTCTTCTCTCCATCCACACTGCGCCCTAGGTCAGGGCAAGAATATATTAGGAATTGCCACTTTTCACTGGGAGGGTGACCAATTTGTACCAGTTGCTCAGGACTGTCTTAGTTTTAGCACTGAAAGTCTCATGTCCTGGGCAACCCCTCAGTCCCAGCCAGGCACACTGGGATGGTTGGTCATCTTGTGTCAGATGAGGTCCAAGCTTTACTCTATCTCACAACTACCAGCCCCACACTGATATTCAACAAACCCCAGAGTTCTCCTCCCATATCCTGCTGCCCCACACAGTGACTCCTGCTTGTCCTTGAAGACTCCACTCTGGTGTCACCTCCTCCAGAAAGCGTCTAAGAAGGTTCACACAGAACCCTAAGCCTTTGGTGATTCTAGTGCTTGTCACATTGTACAGTCAGTGGCTCTACGGTGGTCACTCCCATCAGCCTGTGAACTTCCTCTGGGAATGAGCTGTTCTGTATTCCAAACCCGCAATGTTTACTATCAGAGCCAAATGAAGATCACCAGAGTTGGGATGGGTACTAGCTGTTTATGGCAATCTTTTCCAAATCACTTTAGGATCGTCTAAGCTCCATACCAGTAAGCAAATCATCAGGTTATTCAGACAGGCTGTAATATGGATTAAGCTGATCTTCCTGATCCAGGGCAGGTAGCTCAGGTTTCCAAAAAGCACTGAATGGCCATGTAACCTAAACAATGTACCTGAGCAGTTCCCAGGATATTTCAAAGGAACCTGAGAACCTTTACCATTCCTTGGCTGGCAGGAGGGTGAAGATGCCCTACTGGGCAGTGAGACTCAACCAACTTGAAAGACTTCCCAAACTGACTTATTAAGAAGTTTTATAAGAAAAGACAGCGTCATGAGTACAAGCCCTAAAATTGAATCCTGGCTTTGACACTTTTCAGCTGTTGTCATCTTGGGACCTTACTTTCCATGTCTATAAAATGGAAACAGTAACAGTTCCTATAACTCAGACTAATGAGGAAGACAGGAAATACACAGGAAGTCCTTAGCCAAGTACCTAGCACAGAAAACACATTTAATAAATATTAAAAGCAATTTAAAAGGCCTAGAGTCGGGAAGTTAGGTGACAGCCTGTAGGTAACTGGGTACTGGCAGGAGGCCCAATCATCCTCCCCTTCTCAGCCACATCCACCCACTCTCTACATTCCTGAAATCCTTAAGCCTCTCCCTTTCCCGTCCAACTGCCCTTCCATTTAACATTCCTGCTTCTAGTCCTGGGCCTCTCTCCTCCCCATGTCTTCTCTTACTACCACCCCCTAAAACCTTTCCTCACCACATAATGAGCCCTCCTGCCCCCAACCCTCTGAAACCCACAAACATCTATTAAATGCATGTTCCACGCTGGAAAGGACACAGCTAAGAATTACAGCACCCCAACTCTCCTGCCAAATGAGAAGTCCCCATTTAATTTTGTTCCCACCAATCCCTTCCATGAGCCCCTCCCCCTCCCTCTTTCTTCCCATCAGTAATCTTAGGAGGTCCCTCTGTAAATCAACCTATTTCTTGCCAAAAGTTTGACTACTTCCCCAACCAACTCTTTCCCCCTACTATATTTTCCTCTCATCACCGCCCTTCTCCCAAAATTCCTAGGCTCTGCCTGCATGCTCTGCACCTCTCCCCGTTTCATTCTTTAATTATCCGTGGAGCTCCTACTGTGTGCCAGCCACATCACAAGATTCTGGGATACAACTGTGAGCAAAACAAGCAGTCTCTGTCCTCCTGGAAGTCCCAGTTTAGTAGCAGACAGAAAAGTAGTAAAAACAAACAGGATAACTGCTGCTAGTGGAGATGCATTGAATGAAATTAAGAGAAAGATGGGAAGGAATCACCGTGGGGTAAGCACCTTAGGTAGTGAGTGTCGTCTGGGAAGGCCTGGCCTGGCTAATAAACACAGCTACCACTACTGGCCACCTACTGTGTAACAGACACTGGATCAATCTCTTTACATGCATGACATTACTACATCCTTGCACAATGTTCACAATACCCATCTGCAGATGGGGAACCAGAGGCTCAAAGAAGTGAAGTAATTTGTCCAAGTTCACTCTGTCATTAAGTGGTGAAATCAGGATTTGAATGCAGGTCTGACTGCTGCATTCCTGCTTCCCAGGACCCCCTTTGCAACCTGTCCTCCCCTAGAGCTCTACTACTGATAGTCCCTCTTTAGGCTCCCCCTTGAAAATAGTTTGCTTTCCGTATGGCCCTTAATTGAGTGCCTGTATATGCTTCCAGCTTTATGAGCATTCTTTTAGCCAATCCTCAAGACAATCTTGGGAGGCAGATGCTGTCATAACATCCGTTTTACAACTCAGGAAACTAAGGTCTAACTTCACACACTTAGATTCAAACCCAGATCTGTCCGACTTGGGGATCCAGACCTCTGACCTCTAAGCTGTCCAGTCAAAAAGTACCACTCCGGGAAGCTTGGTGCCCACGATCTGCTCCTAACAAGAACGTAGTCTGTGTCCATACACTGAAATCTCATTCCCTTATTTTAAAGACGAAGATACCGAGACCGAGAAGCTAAGCGACTTGCCCAAGGTCACACAGCGAGGAGCGACGGGGTCAGAGTTCGAACCCAGAGGCCCTCACTCCAGAGCCCTCGCTCTTAGCCACCATACAGCCTTTCCCAAATGCCTCTCTCCACGCTCCACCTCCGCTCTCACACCTCCCAGCGACCCCGGCCCAGGGCTATGCGTCCCCATCCCAGTTTTCAGCCTCAAGGCCTCCCACCTCCGCCCCCAACACACTCACTTGAGGTGGTCCAAAGAGTGGATGTTGCGAGAAGACCTGCCATGGCCCCCGCCCACCCAGCTCCGCGAGCGGCCAAACATGTCGGCGGCGCCGGCCCGTCGCTCGCCTCACGGTCTCATGCCGCTGTGGCCCAGCGGCCGGGAGCCCGCGGCAGCAGCACAAACCGCCAAGGTGGTGAAGAGACCGCCAACCACCTTCCTCCCCGGCCCACAGCCCGGCACTGACATTCAGCCGGAACCGGCCGTTCGACCGTCGCGCTTTACGGCCGCCGCCAAGAGGAACGCTGGGAAATGCAGTTCGCCCACGAGGCCCCAGCAGACCGGACTCTGCGAACCAACTACAAGATCCGGCGTGCATCACGCCATTGCGGGCCTGCGACCTTCGAGAAGAGGCGGAGCAACAGGAGGAGAGTGCGCAGTACCGTCTGGGTGGGCGGGAATGGGAAACCTGTGCGCAAAACCTTGAGAAGGAAATCAGTGAAGTAGAGTGAATAATAGTAACATCAATGTTAACAGTTATTATTTTATGATATTATTTTATTATTTTATGATAAGAGTAGTTATTGCCTGATGTATACCTTGCGCCTAAGCGCTTACATGTAGTTATTTGATTCTAACAATTCGATGAGGTAGGTGCTATTATTATTCCTATTTACCTTCAAGGAAACTGAATTATAGAGGGGTTGACTTGCCCAATATCATGCAGTTAGTAAGTGACAGAAGTAGGGTTCAAACCCAGGCACCCTTATTTTTGTCTCCCAATAAACCAAACTGCATCAAATTGATAATGGCCTTGTTTGTCCTCACAGCCTTTTTCTTTTTCTACTTCAATTTATATATAGAAAGGCCTTCAAGCAACAATATACCAAAACTGAACGTCCTATAATTTCAAAGGATTTCTCTGATCTTCACTCCAAATGCCATTTCCAAAACTACCACATTAAAAAAATGGAAGCACTCAATTTCCTATATGAGCCAAGAAGATATACCTAATTGTATCTTCTGGATAAGTAGTGAGAGCTCCATGGAGGTAAGATGAACCTGTTCACCGTTCATTCATTTATGTCTATACTTCCTATTTATCTGAGGCCTATTGTGTACAAATACTGTGCTCAGAACAGAATTGGAACAGGGTCCAATGTTCTCCCCAATGCCTAGCACAAGGCTTGGTGCCAATAGGTGTTCAACAAATATTGACAGAGTGAATGAATAAATGGTTTGTTTTACCGTCTGCAGTTGGAAAAATGGAGTCCGGTGGAGGGTTAATAGTTTGCTCTGTGATTCATCTAAAGGGGCAAGAAACAGTCATGGAGGAAAAAAGGGCATGTTCTGGTCTCCAAACACAGGCAAGATGATCAGCTTCTAGGGTCCCTCCATTTCTCTGGATCTTGGTTTCCTCGTCTGTAAAAAAAGTGAACTTACTACACTGCCTTCTAGCTCCACTTAAGCAATGCATATGTATAAAGCACCCAGCTTAGTGTGGCCTGAGATTTAAAGGCTTATTGAACTGCTTTGGAAGCAAGGGTTCTCCAAGAGAAGGAGAATCACTTTTCTGTGTACTTCTTGGATCATTGTTTAACCATGTGTATGAAAGTTTTTAAACATGGCTTACAAAGTACAAAGAAACAAGAAGCAACCCTACTGGCTAAAGGTCTGACCTGCCTGGGAATCTCTTTACTCAGGTGTCCCTGAACCCTATGATGCAGAACCCTCCCCAATAGGCAGTCCTTCTTGCAGCCAGAATTTGGAAACGAAAGGGGCACTGATGGATCATCCCCACCATGAAAAACTGGCACTTTGGGAAAGCCTAAGATTTTCACTATCACAGTCCACCACTCCTCCGCTACCCCGCCTCCTTTTTCATCTGGTAAACTGAGTCCCAGAAAGGCGTAGCGCCATATTCAAGTCCAGCATGGTGCAGTTTCCTTCAGCTTTTTTCGCCTTAAGATACATCTAGATTTGAAGCGTGCTGGGCTTCTTTCCACTCCCCCTACTCTGTGGGGGGTTCGCAGAGCGAATTGGATTTGAGATTAGGGAGGAGTCCAGAACCCGGAAAGCAACTCAGAGGCCATCGCCCCCTGAGACAGAGATAAGAAGTACCGCCCCCAGATATCTCGGGCCAATGAACGCGGGCGTTGAGCGGGCCAATGAGCGCGGCCAGGAGGCGATTGGCCAATGAGCGCGGGGTCGCTGTAAAGGCGGAGCTCTGAACGCGACCTGCAGAGCGACGCGGCGGCTACAGCCATGGACGCTGATTCTGCGGAGTTGCAAATGGGGCTCGAGAAATTGCCAGGCCGACCAGGAGAGACTGCCTCCAGGACTGGACCTCGACGTTGAGCCGCGGTGGGGTCCCCGCCGGCGCTGCGAGGGCCCCTGATTGCGAGAGGGGGCGTCGGAGGAGTCGGACAGCCGCCGGCCACCTCAGGGGGGCCCGCCTGGCCGCCGGGCGGGTCGAGGGGCTGTGTGGACACTTCTGGAGGTGCGGGGACCTCGCCAGGCACGTTTCGGGCGCCTGGACGCGTCCACAGGGGCCCACCGCACATCCCCGGGGGTCTCACCGCCTGGACCCAGTGCCGCCTCGATCGAGCTCCAGGGTGGATGGCTGAGCTGCCCCCTCGCCGGCCGCCCGGGCGCCACAGCAGCTGAGCTCGCCGGGATCCCCGGGCCGCTGCCGCCCTCGCCCCCCTATCGCATGCCCGGCGCCCGGGTCGCGGCCCACTTGGACTTGCTGGGCTCCCTGGTCCCCTACGTGCCACCGCCGCTGCTGCCCTCTATGTTCTACGTGGGCCTGTTCTTCGTCAATGTGCTGATCCTATACTACGCTTTCCTCATGGAGTACATCGTCCTCAACGTGGGCCTCGTCTTCCTGCCCGAAGACATGGACCAGGCGCTCGTGGACCTCGGCGTGCTTTCCGACCCCGGCTCGGGCCTCTACGATGCCGACTCGGAGCTCGACGTCTTCGATGGTTATTTGGAGTAGCCCTCGCTCCCCCCAGTCCCCCACAACCCGCAACCTTCCACCCGGACCAGCCGCCCAGATCATGCCGCCGCTGCTGGTTGAGGGCACCGTTTGGCCAGGGATGGGACCTCCAAGACGAGGCCCTCTCCGGCCTCCGAGGCCTGTAAGTGCCCTCTCTGTGCGGGATGAGGACGGGTTGGGGTGCTATTGAGGAAGAGGGAGGCATTCCCAAGCTGGACACACACCCTTCCCCCAGGCTTCTGATTCATTCCTTCATCCACCTCCTCCAGGTCTATTTGGATGTCAGGAATGGCTAGACTCCTCTTAGGCCCTTAGTTGGAAAGCTTCCCCTAAAGAAGGTGACAGCTGTTGAGAGGAATGGAGGCAGGGCCTAAATAGCGTTTGAGTTAGCCATGGTACCAACTGCCACAGCTTGTCGAAAAAAACTTTGCACCCAAATCCATCTGAGGCAGAGCTGTCAGCTCCTCCCCCTGTCCTTAGCCTGACTTGATGATGACCTTGGTTTGTGAGGGATTCTCACTAGTCCTGGAAGGATAAAGATTTGGAGTGTCACAAAAGGTAAGACACCCAGCACTGGTCACCTTTACCTGTGGTCCCTTGGGGACTGAGAGCAAAGGCTTCTGGCTGAGGTAAGAGGAGAAACCTCCTATAGCAAAGAACCCTGTACTTCCTTTGGCCTTGGGTTTGCTGCTGTTTTGGAGTCAGGTTTCAGGGTGCCCCAGCTCAACAATTCTGCTGCAGCTCCAATCTGCAGGGGCTGCCAGTTTCACAGGCTGCCTTCATAGAGCAGGCAGGCAAGTGGGGGGTTGGTGCTGAGGCTGGCTTTGCCTGCAGTGTATGCAAGGCCTCAAGGGACTCGTGGGCCAGCAGAAGAAACAACAGGATCATTGCACTGAGTTGTGAAAGTCCTGCCTCTGGGCTGCAACCAGGTAGCTGTGTCCAGCCCCACATGTGTGTTGGTGGGAGAGAAATGAAAATTCAGAAAGGAGAAAGACTTGGCCAAAGTAACACCTCAAGGAAGAGAGGCAAATAAAGAAAAAGAAAGAAAGAAAAGGAAACAAACAAAACAGAACAAAAAAAAAAAAGGGAAGAGAGGCAGCTGGACTAGATGGGAAAGAGACAGGCAGACTGTTGGGTCTGGTGAGGGTTCACCAAGCACGCAGGAACCCCTTGGCTGGAGCCCCTCAGCTGGCCAGTGCTGGAGTGTCACTAGGGCCTCTGGCAATGGAAGGGGGATACTGAGGTATTGGGCAAAGGCTTCTTTTAGAAAACAGACACTCATGCCACTCGTCCCAAGCAGGCTGAATTAACACTTCTCCTCTGACTTTCTAAGCCAAGATCGCCATAGTTAGAGGGTGATTCAGGGTGGGGCCAGTTCGACTGACAGTAGTGTTGGGGCCCAGGTGCTTCCTGAGGGGTTAACAGTGAGATTTCTTTAAAGAAACCTTCATTTGAGCTCCTTTATATAACTACCCAGTCTGCCTGCCTGCCTGCCTGCCTGCCTTCCATCCATCCATCCATCCATCCATCCATTCATTCATCGGTTCTCTCATTGAACAAATGTTTACCGAGTACTTGGTGGGTGAACACAGTGAACAAGACAGACTTAGCCCCGAACCTCCTGGCACTTCATGAGAAAGATAAACAAGTTCTCAAACAAGATAATCAAAAATTTTTTAGAGCTATGAAGGCAGGTAAGGACATGGGCACACTCACTACTGTTTCCTCAGCACTTAGAATAGCACCTAGCATCTAGTAGGTGCTCAATAAATGTCTATCAAGTAAGTGACATAGAAGAATAGAGATGGGCTGCTTCAGATAGGGCGGGTCAGAGAAGGTCCTTCTGAGGAGATGACACATTTGAGCTGAGCCTTAGATTGATAGAAGGAGTCAGACATGAAGACCTGGAGAAGAGCCACCCAAGCATTGGGAACTGCTAGTGCCAAAGCCACCGGGTGGGAGAGAGTTGGTTCTTCCAGCAACTGAAAGGGGGCTGTGGTGGCTGGAGAGCAGCCCCAGGAGAGGTTAGTGTGTGGGATCTGGAGGCTGTAGCCATGAGCATTTGGAAGCCATCAGCAGGTTGTGTTTAGGCAGGAGATGACACAGTTCCACTTCACATTCTGCAAGGATGGCTTGGCAGTTGTGGGCAGAATGAGCTATAGGGGAAGTGTGGAAACAGTAATCAGGAGCTGTTCAGTTGCTTAGGCCCAAGGTGACCAGGGCTTGGATGAGACAAGGTTAGTAAAGATGGAGAAACATGGACAAACCTAGAACACCTGTTGAAGGTAGAACTATGGAATCCATTCAAAACCTGTACTGAGTATCACTCATCTACCATGCTTGGTTCCAGGCCCTTTGTGTATTCACTTATTCAACACGTTAGCCCTGCCTACTCTTCTGCCAGGCTCTGTGCTAGGCTTCAGGGATCCCAAGATGAATCCCTGCCTCCAAGCCAAGCATTTGACTTTCAGACGGTGTAACTTGGTAAAGACTGTCTTATTTTATCTCTTCACCACATCAACAGAAACACTTCCTCTTCCAAATGAAAACTGGCATACTCTGAACCAAAAACTGAAGCCCAAATGTTTTTACATACTTTGCAGCAAACACTGAGCAGAAACACAGGAAATGTATTTCAGAGACACCCTTGCAAAGCTTTCAACGTGACAGGGCTGGACCTTGGGAATTAGAGAGGCCTGGGGCTGTGGGAAATACTCATGCCTGGAGAAGTGGTAGAAGTCACGCACAGCATTCCTTCCTCCCCACTCCCAAATTCAGACCAAGGTAGTCTTGGCTCCAGTGACTGGGGAAGCCTAGACTTGGCTGGGCTAGAAGCAGGAAAAGCCTTTGAGAAAGATTAAAGATGATCTGACTGCGCCTCATCTCCAGGCCCCTTTCCATAAGCAGAGGAACACCAATGGTCAGATCTTGCCCTTTTTCCCTCGTTCTCACGTGGACACAGTCTCATGAAACACCGATTAAGGATGAGGGGTGTGCCAGGCAATGGGGACGATCTCAAGATTTAAAAAGTCACTTTTGCTCCCTCTCTCTCTTTTTTTTTTTTTTTTTTTCTTATGTGTTTACTTACATAATTCGAGTCTTCACACATTTATTGAGAACTTGTTAAGGAGGCAATGTTAGGGTCAAACACCCCAGATTCAGATGCCCTGGGTTCAAATCCTAATCCTTGGGCATGCTACATACCTCCCTGTTGTCAGATTCATCTTCTATAAAGCAGAGATCATGAAAGTGTACCTTCTTGTGAGGATTAAATGAGATATATGTAAAGTTCTTAGACATTCCTGTATATAGTAAGTGACATATTAAAGTTAACCACTATTATCATTAACAGATAACAGAAAATGTGTACACTCAGACCCTTATGTATGTATAAACTTGCACCTACACCCATTGATAATTTATATTCCATGATGAGCAAAAGAGGAGTGGCTGGCTGAGTGATGGGTAGGTCCAAGTCTAGACTAGGACAGACTTCTCACTCTGCCTTCTAGGTCCAGGGCCCTCAGGAGACCTTGCCCATTGTGCCGTGGCCTCCAAAGGCCACCAGATCTGGAGCCCTGGAGAGCTGCAGCTCTGTGGTGTTTTTTTGTTGTTGTTGTTGTTTTTTGAGTTTTAATCATTGCCCAGGAGTGGGGAGTCAGGAGCTCCCTCCTTCCCAGGAGAAAGGGCCATTGCGTCTGGCCTAGGAGCTGCGGAGAGTCCTCGCAGTTCTGATGAGGAGGCCGCTCAGCTGGATGGATTTGTCTTGGTTCCTGATGAAAGCTGATGGTGCCTGCCATCTTGGCATACAGGGAAGGCTGTGGGAAAGGAACCTCACTGTTCCGGGAATGTAGACGAGAATGCAGCTGCCAGAGTCAGGGTGGCCTGGCAAAACTCAGGTTTGGAGTTAAACGTAACCAGATCCAGTGGTCACCTTATTACAGGGTTTCCCAGGCTTCAGTGTCCCGACTGGGTGCTGCACCTACTCCTTCCTGATCTACCTGCTCTGCTCATGCCAATCTGGCCAGTGCCATCAGCAGAACACAGGAAGCTGGCATATCACTGCTCTACTCAGAAACCTAAACCATTTTTGGGGATAGGCACAATAGAGTCAGGTCCTGGGAGATCCCCTAGACAACTGGTGGGGCTCCAGGCAGGGGTCTGGTCTTATGGGGAAACCAGGTAGGAAGTCATGACTGTCATCCAAGCAAGAGACAGGCAACAGTGACAAGGGGAGGTACATGTACCTCTAGGCCTGCTGACAAGCCAGTTCTGTCCTGTCATGAGGCTTACCCAGAAGGGTGCTCTCCACAGGGTGCATTGGTTCTGGCTGCCCCTTTGGACAGGAGAAAACTCCAATATGTATCTCAAGACAGCTGAGATGCCAGAGGTCCCAGTCCCTTGGTGAATGAGATTTCATTCAAGGCACACCTTCACAGGCCTTGTGTCTGCTCTGTTGAACTAAGAAATTAAGGACTCCTCTCAATTTGACCATTTGTATTCCTGGTTAATCTGCTGACTTTCCCCCCAGGACTTCTGGAAGCTGAGTTGGCTTTTGGGAAACCAAGATCCCAATAAAAAGGACAGGCATCATTATCCCCCTCTCACAAATAAAGAAACTGAGGCCCAGAAAGGGGGAATACGGGTCAGGGGAACAAAGCTGAGTAAGAGCTGAGCCTCCCCACCCAGTGCTGGGGGTGTGTGGGGTGCCGGGGCCCTCCAGGGAAGGACTCTGACCCTTGTCCTTGCAATACTACTCCCTGTTCTCCAAGCCTGCCTCATGCATTGTTCCTTCTTTCTGAGTTTTTAAAAAAATAAAACTATTTTGAAATTTACAATTATACAAAAGTCTTAAGAAGAGTAAAGAGAATTCCCGTATTTTCACCCATATTCACTAATTGTACCAATTAACATTTTGCCACATTTGCTTGTGTGTGTAACATGTGCTCTGTGTATGTATCTGTGTGTGTATACATAATATGTGTATAATTATCTTTCTGAACCATTTGAAAACAGGTTTCAGATGTTATATTCTTTTGCTCCTAAATATTTCAGTGTATATATAACCACAGTACATTTGTCAAAAGCAAATTTAACATTGATACAATCCTAGGACCAATCTAATTTATACCTTTATTCAAA